AGCCCCGAACATGCTCAAATGGTCTAAACATTGCCACAGGTTCAACTTACCTAAAATATACCAGAAATAGCCCAGTGGCACACACTCTCGAAAACTTTTGCAATCACAATATAACTATAAAGCATGGGTAAACTTTTGCTTTGTTTTTTATACAAAACTCAGAACCACATTTCCTTCTCCCCCATCCAATATCCCATAACTAATTAAAAAAAACCCATAAACATTTGTTAGACACCACTGTCTTTTTTTTTCTTTTTTTTCTTTTTTCTTTTTTTTTTTTTCCTTTTTTTTGTCTACAGTTCCATTTATAGCACTGAATCCAGCATGGGAAATGTATTCCCAGGTTAAAGAAAGGGATGTTACCAACAGTGGAACTGTGGAAACAGACGACCTGTTGCATTGATAGCAAGATCAGGACCAATTACGTAATGCTGTATGTAAGAGCCACTGCTCTGATCCCCTTTCAGAATGTCAGTGTAATTTTTACAACCTAAATCTACCTGGTTTAGCTTTATTAAATAAAATGCTTTAATTCCTTAAAATTGTTAAAAATAGTGACTTTTTGGTTGCTGTTGTTATATCTAAGGTTTCTGCGGTTTCCGAACGACTGATCGGTCTGATGTTCCGCAGTTTTTCACGGTATTTTTAGGTCAACAGAATAAGCATATCCATAAGTTCTTATGTACAATGGTTTGAAGTATCTCTAAATTTACTTTTCTGATAAAGCCTATTAGAAAAGTAAAAGTAACCTAATGTGAATCTGCCAAATATAAATATACATTTAAATACTTAATTTCCAATCCTAGATGTAACGGCATAAATTCTTCTAATAAGACTGGTTTCTACACCTGTATAAAGCCCTGACAAGATTTAAGCATTGTTATGAATGTGAATGGCCTCTGTCTGAGTGTCTCCAATTTACTTCTACTCAGGAATGTGCAAATGATTTTATACAGCACGATGCTAGTACCGCTCTGTACTATAGATTTTTTGTTTGTTTTGTAAATAAAAACAACAACAAATCCCTAGTCAGAAACAAACTGACAAAATTTACATTCTTCTCTCTTAAAAAAGTAAATAAAATAACATTATTTAAAATGTGAATTAGCTATAAGACATACAATACAATTACATAGATACATATCAATACAGCACATTCAATTTGCCAAAAATTAATGATTACAAAGCCAATATGGATGCTGCCATATATATATATATAGATGTATGTACAATGATTATAGCATTCATAATTGCACTATACCTACAACCAGTTTTAAATTACAAGGTGTTTTAAGAGGGAGCAAAAAACAGCAACTGTTCTTATTATTGTTGTTTTGGAGCTGGGAGGGTTAAAAACGTCTCATTAGTACTTATTGTTAACTTTGGTAATCAACTAATAAGCCATTCTTTTCTCTACCTCCCATCCGCTGCTACAGGGCAGCAATTTCTGTATTAAGTGCACTCTAGTGCTACTTGGCATTGCAGATAATCACTCCAATTACATGTCTGAACTCTGAGTTTTATGTAGCTTGCTAGCAATCATGCACCTGGTCAAAAAACATCTTTCAACCTAAGCTGCAGAATAAAGGCTCATCAATATGTGCTGGATTTTGGTTGTTAAAAAATTGCACATCTAAATTTCAAGAACGATCTTCTCACTGTTTCATTTACATTAATATCTCTTTTTCTGAAGAACACTGAGAAAGGCTATTTTGCATGAAAGCCTATCAAATGTCTGTGAATCGGTTAGTTAACAAGCAACCTTATCAAGAAAGGTTCCTGAATGTGATCTCTCGTCAACAGTTTCTCATTAAACAACTAAAGGTGCCTTGGTATTTTTACAGAAAACAATCTCCTGTCATATCCGACATAAGGAGAGATTTAAACTGTCTTTAAATTAGTAGACCACATCCATGTGCATGGTGGACCTTGTAGCATATTTACTCACACTCTTGGTTTTGGCATTAGAAAATAGAACACTTTCTAAAAAAAGGGAACGTATGAGCTGAAACTGTTTTCTCATTTGGCAGTTGATTCAATCAGATCAGTTCCCAACCCATCAGTTTGGCATTTCTATCAGTATCTTATGTTTCAAGAGCATTGATTTTATAAAAAGCCAGATTTGGCAACATTAATTTTATACAATAAAAATAATTCTCCTACTGTGGAAAAAGAACACTTAAAAAAGCTCTAAATTAAGAAAAAAAACCCACACAACTGAGAAAAAAACCCACTGTTTAAGGCTGTAGCCACTGGGGAAAGTGTAGTGTCTATGACATTTCTGTTTGGCATTTGTGAATAAAAGAGGAGAGAAAAAATGGCACATGGCAATTAAAAAGAGATTCTAATATATTCCACGTACATCCCAGGTTGTGTCTTAATTATTTCACTACTGTCTTCTGTGCACTGTTCCAAACTGTGAAAATATGGTTAAATTTAATATCCTTAGACAACTGCAATTCTGTTTTGCAATCCCAATATTCTAGTCCCAAAAGTGAAGACAGAACTAAGATACCCATGTCAAGAACTCAAAAATCATAGTATCAGTACTTTTGATCCTTCAGAGAAAGTACATACTGTCAAAGTAGAATGACTGATGACTTAATTTCTGATGATGGTATTTTTCTGACCAAATCACTCAACAGAAAATATTTCACCCAGGAATGCAACTGGGAAAAAAAGGCCATTGTACCTCATAAAAGATAAGGAAGGAGGGGAAGGAGGGAGAGAGAATGGGCCAGGGAAAGAGGAAACCAGCTTGATTTTGCTTCAATAGCAAAAAACTGGTATCTTTTGTAAATGTACAACTGAGAATTTAAAACACATTGAGTTACAAGGTTTTGCCTAAAAAATGAGGAAATGTGCTGTGAATGTACTTCAGCATCTTTTGGTTTTCCTCCATATAGTTTAAATAAAATCATAATATTAACTACAAACTCTGTGGACATTCACAGAGTCCAGGCCAGCAATAAATTAGTATTATGCAAATTGTTTTCACAGATAATACAGTCCCTCTTGTTTATCTTTAATCACACAAAGTTGGTTTTGGAGGGCCTCCTAGGCACAGTTAGACCAGGTTGTACTCCTTCAGGTTTAACTGTAGGATCGTGTCCTTGACAGCAGCAAAGACGAAGCGGATGTTCTCTGTGTCTGTAGCGCACGTGAAGTGCGAGTAGATAATTTTGTCACTGTCTGGGTTCAGGTCTACGAACATCTTCAGGATGAACTCTCGTGCTGCTTGTGCATCCCGCTGTGGTCCTGTTAATTAAGAAGAGAAAGTCAGTTTTCTTGAAGACGATTCAATATTTGAACTTCTTTAACTGAAAACAAGAAAGGGTCAGTCTGTGGTCCTCATGTAAGTGGAGACGGGGAACTTCTTCCTAATCAACTCTATCATAGAGTGGCTACTTTCTTCCTGGTAAGAACTGTGAAAAATAAGGATGGAAGGAAATTTCAGAAGTTCATTAAGTCAGAGGTACCATATTAAAGCTCCTCTTTTCCTGCGGACTATCGTCTTTCTTTCATTGGATAATGTTTAAAACAGGTCGTTTACATATAACTGCACAGAATGAAAAACGAAAAATCAGCTATACTAATAAATCTTTTAAAATGTTAATAGAATTGGTGAATGCTCAGTCTACAACTACTATATTTAAATAATACTTAAGTGCTTTAGCACTGCAACATTTAGTAGTTTTATAAGGATTTTAATAGGTAGCACAGTGGAGTTATATCCTGAACTGGTCTGACACCACCATCAACAGAACTTCATTTACTGCAGTGATAACAGAATGCATATGCTCTCCAGCTGAAGCTGGCTGATTGCAACTGGCTCATGCTCTAACAGATCACTTGTTATCTAAATTATGTATGATAACGATCCTATCAGATCTAAATTAAGGTTATAATTCTCAGAAAGATAAAGAGCCCATGTAACCAAACCACGTGTTCAGCTTTACAGAAGGTAAAGTAATAACTTCCAGCCTGGAACAGTGAGGATTCATTCATGTTCACATCCAAAAGAGCAGTGCAGAAGTAAGAACATCAGCCACAAGCTGCTGAATTCAGCACTGTTTCCAAAGGCCATTATTGCCCTGTTTTCCTGTTTCTGGAACAGAAACACACACGTTTTCTGTGCTGTCTCCTCTTCCTATTCTCTTCATTAGTCCTGTTTTTTTTACACAGCAATATAAATACCGACGTTCAGCTGTTACATGTAGCTCTGTCCATCAGCAGTTATGAAACCTGTGCTTTGGGGGTTAGCACATGCCCACCTATTTTTCAACAGCTGGATAATAAACCTGGTTTGCAACAGTGTACAATTAAGAAGTTTACAATTGCCAACATTTCCCATTTGGATATCTCCATAAAATTTAGGTAGGGCATGCATGGAAGAAAAATCACATACTTTCTGGTGTGCTGCAAATCCATGGGGAGGGGGAGTAAGATTCTGCAATATATGGGTGTATACACATGAACATACATGTACGTCCATGCACTTATACAGATTACACATTTCTGAGCTTTAAGGACATAAACAGTTCATAAGCTTACTTGTAAGTCTGCAATACTTGTGAAGAAAACACTTAGCCTTTCAAAGGCAATGATTACTTCAAAATAAACTACTGTTTTAGACAACTTCCTAGAATTTTCTCAAAATTTTCGGAGTAGCTAGCCACAGTGCTCACTCAAAATCTACTGTGCTATTCAAAGCCTGCATCCGAAGTTGCTTACCTAATCACACCTCTACTATTGTGTAATTTAATTTTTGTTTGACTATAGTTCAAGTATGGAAAACTGAGGTTAGAAAGAATGTTTAGTACCATAGGAATTTAGAAAAAAAAATGAACGAGTTGATGTTTAGACTGCAAAGTGGTTGTGATCCAAGTAAGAATTGCAAAAGAACTGCCACGTACATCGGTAGGTTTCTTGTCCACTGCTCCCTAAGCAGTCCTTGAAGAGTGTCTCTACATGATATATTCAAGATCTATACAACATATAGATGCAAGAATTGGGCTTGTTCAGCCTGGAGAAGAGGAGGCTCCGAGGAGACCTCATTGCAGCTTTCCAGTATCTGAAGGGGGCCTACAAGGGTACTGGGAGAGGACTTTTTACAAGAGCCTGTAGTGACAGGACAAGGAGTAATGGGTACAAATTGAAATCAGGGAGGTTTAGATTAGATATCAGGAAGAAATTCTTCACAGAGAGGGTGGTGAGGCACTGGAACAGGTTGCCCAGAGAAGCTGGGAATGCCCCATCCCTGGAAGTGTTCAAGGCCAGGCTGGATGAGGCTTTGAGCAACCTGGTCTAGTGGAAGGTGTCCCTGCCCATGGCAGGGGGGTTGGAACTAGATGATCTTTAAGGTCCCTTCCAACCCAAACCATTCTATGATTCTATGATTCTATACGAGAAGTACTACATTAATATTTTTCTCTTCCTCCCAAGTACGGCCCCTCTTTGTCTTTGCCCTCTCTCCTTCTCCTATCCCTTCATTCCAGTCTGAGTCAGTCTTCAAGTACCAGCCACTCATGGATGTCTTCATGTCTTCACACTGATCCCTGAGTACCCATCAGCCCCCCTTCCAATCCTGCTACAATACATCGTGCAGCAGAACTGCTCAGTTTAATTTAATCAGTCCAATGTGCCATCCTGGATAGCAGGTCTCATCCTGATGCTACTTTCTCCAGTGTGCAAGAAAATGGACGGAAGAAGTCATCCAGCTGAAAAATACCTAATTCCGATTCTTTCCTTAAATCTTCCCATCTCCCATATTCCCACTGTGCTGGGACAGAAGTGGGAATGACATGGTGACCTCGGCAAGCCACAGACCCCACCCTGCCACCCGAAGAAATCAAATCAAAATAAACCAAACCATAATGTCTATGGAGTTAAGTCCAGCAAGATCTGCAGAATTAAGAGACGAAGACTCTTGAAGCCTTCCAGGTCTTGAATCCAACAGCCCTACCAGTCTATAACCTTTTTCTCACTCACAAATGGTGAAAGACAAGAGAAACAGAGTTTCTGAGGTGAGTGGCTGAGTTTTGTCCATTTTTTCTGGACGAGCATTTAACACAGGCTCTATCATCACTTGAGTGGTGGTAACAGAGCACACTGTATTCTTCTCACCTCCAGGATGTCATCTAAGGAAATTGCCATGTGAAGTAAACTCAAAAGAACGAGAACATTTCTATTCAACTACTCTTCTGCAGAGCACTATGAAACTAAACGTACACTGATTCATAAATAATACGGTCAAATACTTAAACAGGAAACAAAATATAAGTTTTATCTATTTTTACTCTCCATATTTGAATAAGAGATATTTAATCTTTTATTCAGCTTTCAAATATGTTATTCACTCCCAAGAGGAACAAAACAAGATTTTATTTAAAAAAAAAAAAAATGAGCATTTCTTTCTTTAGACCTTGATCTCCACTCCACTACCTCGAAATACTTATCTTTTTGGCTCAGGAGAACTTTCTGAAGTAGAGTTTCAGTAGAAACAACTGTAGAATCCACAAAATCTTTTCATGGACAAGCACACTAAGCTTCATATAAATAATGCAGAATTAAAATAAAGGAAAAAAAGAGGTACAACAAAAGGGTGGAAGGAGTGGTATTGGTTTCTCTGAGTGCCACAGAAAGCTTACGATATTTCTCCTCAGATATTCAGCCTTACACAAAATCAAATCTCAAAAAAGAGAGTACAGGAGACAATGTGTAAAGGTGAGGAATACATTTTTATTTCTTTTTGTGTTTTAAACTTCAGTTTAAACCTTCACTCCAACTTATGAAAAAGGGCTGAATGTGGTCCATTGCTAATATTACAACACTCACCTAAAAGTCAACAATTTTGCATGAAAGGTTCTGCCATCCTACCCACAATTAATTCCAGTGCAACATGAAAACCAGGCAGAATCACACAATAATTCAATCATATTTTTAAAATGAAAAAGATTAAAAATCATAAAACACCTTTTTTTTTTTTTAAGAGAAAAATATATCAAAGGATCTATCTGTCTAGCATTTGGACAAGGCTATTACATTCTGTCATTAATGCAGTGTAAATAGAGCTTGAGTTCTGATGTCACTATACTTACCATCATACTCTGGAAAATAATCAACTAGATGAGAGTACATAATTTTCTCCTCTAAGAGATCTTTTTTATTTAAGAACAAGATGACTGAAGAGTTCTGGAACCATGGATATGTAATAATTGTCCTAAAGAGTGCTTTGCTTTCTTCCATTCGATTCTGGAATAAAAAAAAAGAGAACAGAATTTTGGTGGTCATGAAAATTATTCTAAGAAAAATGTTTTTGAAATAAATTCATGCAATTTCACTTTATTTGGTAAATGGATGCATTTCATGTTTTGCACCTTCCTATCAATAGGTAACATTCAAGTAATTACAATTAATAAGCAAGCAGATAATTGAATATGCAGGCATTTTCCCTTCCCAAATTCAACTGCTCAAGATGAAGTATTCTTTAAAACAAAACTCATGAACATGAAAGCTGTAACAGGTATATTTGTAAAGTCCGAGCTCGCACAGTTATGACCATCCACACTCACCAAACTGGTGGGTATTAAAATGCATGTGATTCATGGTAGGGACAAGTATACCACCTCGACACAGTAACTAGTTCAAGTTTGTGTTAGGTCTTTGTGGCAGGGTTTCGGCACTGGGGAGAGGCCACAGGGTTGGCTGCTGTGAGAAGCTGCTGGAAGCTTCCCCAGCTCCAAGTTGGACCCACCTCTGGGCACAGCCAAGCCAGTCAGCACCTGTAAGCACCTCTGTGATCAACATATTTAAGAGAGGAGAATAAGGAGAACCCGGAGTGGGGAGACGAGTGGGGTGTGAGAGAGACAGCCA